GCAGAGTTTGCCGGTCTGTTCAAACACGTTTATACATGTTTGAACATGTCAGTTTAAACATTAACACAGTCAAAGGTATTTATTGGCCGCATAGACAAGACAGACAGCAAAAAAAGCTGAGAGCTCTGCCATTTTTGAAGATGCCCAAACACAACTGCCTAGTTGGAGGTGCCCTGCGGTCTGCTCGAAGTTCAAACAGGTCAGACTGGCTGGTTTAGGATGCATTGCTGGCTGCATACTGCATTCCTAACCGGTGTCACGTTCAGCTGGAGTCCATCGAGTTAAAGACGTACTTGTCGGATTCGTCTTGGCTGTGCACCGTCCTGTAGTCAAACATGAACAGCATACATATAGTCAAGGCCGTCGTGACCAGCTCCACCATCTCGTTATATTGTAGGAAGGCGTTTGACCTGCAGAATTCGCCCATTAAGCCGCGATGAAGCACTCCATCGTAGATTGATGAGACGCGCGGAGACTGAAAATGAAATAGTGAAGTCAGCCACACACACAAAATACGCCATTTCTTATCGCTAGACTGCCACATTCAACGGCACCCGTCCCAAAATCAGATTCACATAAAAACACGTAAAAAGCGATTACACCACAACTCTGTTCTAGTAAAAAGAAAAAAAAACAGTCAAATGTTTTTATGAAAATGTTTGAACATGTATTTATCGAGCCCTGCATCACGGACACCCCGCGCATGTCTGTTATGGCTACGTTCGCGCGAACCCGCCCGCCTCCGTTAGTCTTTCCGTTATGCAAATCGCCTCATTCACCCCCCCCCCCCCATTTTGGAACGCCTGCCTCTCACTGGTGCGGTGCAAATAGACAGTGTCTCTCACCAACAACAAATTACATCTGTTTTCGCGACGGGCTCATCACTTTAGAGAAAATCGTCCATCGCACTTGAACACAGTTCGTTTTGTGCGTTTCAAACCCAATAGAACTTATACGGTAGGTTTAAAGCGCACAAATGCACGGTAAACGTGTAACATAAATCTGAAGCGAAAAAAAATGTAGAAGAGCACTATTAATGCCTGTAATTATCAAGCTTAGTTTAATAAGCGTTATAATAGTCCATGCATACTCGTAACCTCTGTTTGGCGTGAACTTGGACCAGGGTCTTAGGCCCTGGTCCAAGTGAGGAATGCGTGCTTCAATCAACAGGGTTAGGTTGAGAAAACTCGATGATTGGTTAAGGCGATCAGTAAGCTTTAACTGAGGTTACAGTATTCGGTTAATACGATCAGGTGAACCCACCTGATCGCATTCAATCGTGAGAAATGGATATGCCAATGTTGTCGTGATGATATGACACGTCCATCCACGTCCATCGGGTATGTAGTACATACTATGTACAGTGTACTGCAAAATTCACAATCGGCAGGAAGGGATGAAAGTCGACTCGCTCGGCAACATAAATCTGCAGTGCATGTATATCTGAGATTTAACCTCTGTGTGCGGAGCAGTGAGATAAACTCCAAGACCAAGCATGGCTAATTCCATCGACCCTACAGGGTTAATGCTGCCGAATTCTCCCGTACTGGCGATTTACAGTCCCACGTCGTTCGTTTCTCGTGTTGTGGCAATGGTACCCCAGTCATTTACGTATAATCTACTAATCATTTTTACGAATAGTAGATGTTTAATATTACCTAATCGCTTTCTCGCAAAGCAACAGATGTTTAATGGGCTCTGATTGGCTGAAAATCACCTAAAAGCCACAACCACCACCAAGCTAACCTTTTTATAGCTATTAAAAGCCTTATTTATCGCACTGTCCGTGATCTTGAGCAAGAGAAACAAATGCTGGACATACACCATTTCTCGATCAAAGTGTGAATTGCTAACATCAACGTAAGAGCTCCTGTAATTACTTATAGTACTTAGTAGTAGTATAAGTAGTATCTTCCAATCGTCTTCAAAATATTGTGATTTGTGCAGAGACGGCGACTGGTCGATTCTTTGTTGCCACAAATCTCCTTCGCGAAATGTAAAGACGATACTTTTCCCTTACCTCGTATGTTCTCACTTTGAATTTAGAATTTCTCGCTTTGATGGGGAAACGGTGCACCTGCAAGTTTGAGCAGGCAACATTGGCATACGACTGGACGAATACGCCGTATAAGGTGGTCAAAGTGTATCGTTTCGAAAGCTTTGCTGATTTGTTTTACCCTCGCTTTTGATTCATTAACAACCCTATATTTTTGATATATATCTTGACTCGCTGCCCTTCGAGAATGTGACAATTGTAGTTCTATTAAACATATGTCGCAAAATTCTGTAACTTACAAAATGTTTTTGAATACTTTAATGCAATGGAGGAAGAGTAGGGTATGGTTGTGCTCAGGTTTGTTTCAAGATAAAGTGATTTTTCTAGTAAGGCGTTTCAGCAGAATGGAATGGGCTGTACTGTAGAAACTCCGGCTTTTTTTAGGGCAGAGCAGAAGATAGTACTGTACGCTTTGATGAACGACCGTGCGTTCCTTATTCATCAATTTGCGCCAAAGTTCTGAAGCCACCGCAGCCATTGTCACTGCTAGCATGCGCGCGTGGCGTGTTATCTTCGTAACCCTCATCGGACTACTCGTAACCAATGACGCTGCGGCAGCCTCTAGCCCCAAGACACTCGCAGCTGGGCCTTTGAACTTCAAACAGTCTTCCTTTGAGAATACGAAGAGATTCCTGAGAAAGGAAAGCGCCGAGAGCAGCGGGGTTATCGACGAAGAAAGAGGTCTCAAAGGAACTCTCGAGGCTGCTCGAATCAGTCTCTTAAAGCTCAAGATCCCTGGCTGGCTTGCTGCTGGTAAGGATCAGACCGATGTCATCAAGATTTTAAAGATGACATATCCATACGTCGACGACAAGAACTGGAAGGTATTGAAAAGTTTCCAAAAAGCCCATAGCAAGCTCCAACATAGTTTGTACCCGGTTGGAAAATGATGCGGATTCTCGAAGCTATGAAGGTACGCGTTCATTTTTTCCAGCCCAATCGCGCCATTCCCGTATGAGAGTCGTATGGTAACAACTTCCATTAATATCATCTATACTCGTTTCGTTGTTTGTTTCCAGTTTTTTATTTGAATTATTATAATAAACTAGTAAACTATTGCACCGCTCTGCCTAATTGACCACCCACATACGCTGCTCCTATTCTGCGGTTCTTGAAGCGGCTGCAACTTATCGAGTTGCTCTAAGATCACATGATATAGATCTAGTGTCGTTCTATAGTAGTGCATCGCGATTGACATCTTTTCGATAAGATTGACCCTGTTTAAGGCGTTGTGTTCCAAGTTGTTGTCTTTTTATGCTGTATGTTCGGCGTAGGGAGAACAACGACACACTGTTAGATTGGAGTCACACACACAGTTAAAAAAAAATACTATTGTTTTAGACACCTTGCCCAGAAAAAACAGCTTACTTACAGAAAAGCAACCTCGTTTCGAAATAGCACCAAATTCAACAGGACCCGAGGAGGACCAGACCCACCGGTGACGCGAAACAAAGTCTACTCGCTTGAGAATGATTCTGAGGGAGCCCATCGTGTGTACTCAGAATGCAGTTTTGATCGAGGCTACAAGAACAAAACAAGCGCAATTCGTTTTGATCTAATCAGTCCATATCGTTTTGCAAGCACAGTCAGCGTGCAACAAGGTAACACGCGATGTTATAAAATTGCGCACGAAAAACTTTCGAATTGTCTTTGAAGTTAAGTCGCCGGATCTACGCTGGTGTTTTCCAGTAGGATCTAATTGTCTTTTACTTAAGTAGTTATCAACATTGAAATGTTTGTACGCCGATCACCGAGTACTTTGAACGGTGAATTTTCATCATTCCAAGACTTTTAGCATAGTGTATGTCCTAGTGTAGTTGACAAAACTCAAATACTTAAAGTATTATATACATTAAAATTATATAACTTTTACGCATAGCTTATGAAGGTACTTAAGAGCGTTATCAGACATGGATTGGGGAATCAACTCATGCTATTAAAGTGTTCCGTTTTCTCTTCTTATGCAAATTATCCAGCTGTTGTAGTAGAGGCTACGCATGCATCATATGCAAGTGTATATTATATAATGGAAGTACCGTACCAGCCAGCCCCAGATACGAGTTGCAATTATGTGAAACGGGTCGTCTACGGCTGTGTATGCAGGGCCGCCGATTATGGCATGTACATGCATTGAAAGAACTGCTGAGAAATAAATAATGGCATTATTACAGCAAAAGACTGTCATCAATAATGGCATTGTAAGAAAGCAAAACATACATAATGTCATTATGTAAGTTATTGGCGGGCTCTATCTACAGTACTTGCATCCCAGTAGCCTGCGTTCTGGCGAAGGAACAGGATCTGCTCCAGTGTAATTGGTTGCAGTCCGTTGCGCTCGTGCCCGAACGTCGTTCGGGCAATGCTGAAAAACTTCTCTACCATATTGGAGGTTGGCGGAACACTACGCAGAAGCACGTACCGCTGTTCGTGCCGAGCTAGGCGCCTATGCTTTTCCATGTGCTCCACGAAAGAACCCTCAACATCGTCGTTAGCTAGACGCTCATCCGTGGTCACTTCGAAAGCCCTGAGGGCCGTTTTTTCCGACCGTGTCAAGCGGGCGGTGTTGCCCCGCAGCACACGCACACCCTGACTCAAAGTCGGGACTAAACCTCCATTGTGTATTTTGGGACGGAACATAAATTATGATTGTTCGAAGTTCTTATGAAATAAATTATGCTATGTTGCTGTCCAAGGTGTATCAATATATTTATTTTTGGATTTTATTGCAATTATTGTTATGGCCGTGCTATTTTCGGCGGCCCTGTATGCGTATCAACAATGCTGTTGCCAAGTGGATGTGCATAATGACAATGCTATCCACAGGAACGGCGTGTATCGACAACTGTGATGACACTCTAAGTTCATAACATGTTGACATGAACGGCGTCCTAACAAAGAGTTGAATGCCCCCGAAGCGCCTCCGCCAGTTGGAGTACCAAGTACATGGTAGCAGAGACTCACTTTACCTTTTGCCAAGAAATATATTTCGGCATACCTTTAGGGAGCTTCGTCTTCATTCTGCAGACACTTCAGCTGTTTTGTACTCAACGAACCGTATTATATTTGATAATGACAACTCACTGATAAACAAAATATGAAACGCGGAAACTCTCTAATTATTTGTATCCAGAGTTCTTACCTGGATCGCAGACCCTCGGTAAACTTGTATGAAAAGAAACGTAGACTAATATCGTAATTAGCCAGTATAGCTGTCGCAATACACACTGTAACGCGTCTCTACAGGGTTATATGGACCAGGGGGTTATAGCATTTACTGTAATACCACTATTATGTAGAGCTGTTACTATTAGACCAGTAGTTGTACTATCCCTCTGGTATTCTACTCACTATTACAAAAATATATTACTATTTGTCTCACGTGGTGATACTATAGTACAGTGTACTCTCCAAAGCGCTATTTTCCAGGTATTCTAGGCAATGCCGGCGCCGACTCATGTACGTGAGGGTTTGCTAAAGCTATAAATTAAAAAAATACTAAAATATCGGCCAGATTTTACATTTAAGCAGCCAATAGAGGATCATTTCTCGGTTGCCGTAAGATCTATTGTGAGTGTCAGATTGCTTTGGATTGGTGAGCATAGGGATCGAAGAACAGTGAACCGTGCACCACATATGTCGCCAACCGTGCTCCTTCGAGTGCAATGCATTGTAGTGTAAGTTATTCGCTAAGCTTCGGTTGTGTGCGCTATAGGACTGGCTACCTGTATTGGCTTTCCGAGACTTACCGCTATGAAAGTTAAACATTACCCACCTTGGTTCACGGAGAGTAACTACAACTATCAGCAAACTGATCGAGAGTAACAAGTAATAATTTGGTGAAGAATGCTCAGCGGAAACTATATTTTCTTAATGTTTCATCTGAACGCTGTTAATATTGTGGTATTAGAGAAGTTTGAGATTCGCTTTAAGGACAAAACCTAAACATCAGTATATTTTCTGATTTAGATTTGTAAAAAAAAAAAAAGTGAAATGTTTTTTTTTAATTTACGCTTTACACACCTTAATTATGAGGTATAATTTGATCTGCAAAAAGATAAAAAAAATATGGTTTGGGAATTAGTTTACGAGGGTTACATCCGGCAATGCCTTCAGCCCTAATTATAGCAAAATGTACGGCTTATTTTGAGTGTAGCCTGTGGCGAGATTGACCTCAAAACAATCATTATGAATTCTTCCTTGCACTCTAGCAGCCCTCACGTCTCTTCAGCCCCGTTACCTATCCAACGTGCACGTAGTGCCACCGTCTCGAGCCAGGATAAGTGCAATTCCACCAGTGAAAGGGAGTTTGATCAGCACTGGGAATTCGGAATAAACTCGGATGTTGAACTTTCAAGCGATAGTGAGAACAGTGACGCCGGCTTCATCTCCCCCGTGTACGGCGACCATGAGCCAAGTTATGGGAGTGGCGACGATAATCCTCGAATTCGGGGGATGTGGTGGGGCTCGACGGTCGCCTAGTTGGTTTTCGTGTCGACAATGATGATTTCGACAGAGCACCTCAAGGTGAGCACCATCGCGTGGACAGTGAGGAAGGCAGCTCGGCCTTTTCCGATAGTAGCAGTGACAAGGGGGAATATGGATCGTCGAATGAAAGTGCCGATGCAACGTTTCGTGCGACTGATGAAAACGAAAACTCGGATGTTGAAGTTGCACCTGATGGGCTTCTTAACTTCGCGACTAGCTTACATCGTACTGTGATATAACTCAACCTTCCGCTGCAGTTTCTATCGGAGAAGTCCAGGATGCAAGGGCAAGGTCGACTTCAACTTGCTGGCTGACAATTTCACCAATTTTGTGCCGCATTCGTGCGATAGTGGCTTGCGGGACCCAAGTCGTAATGTTGACGTAATTGAGAACATGAAAGCAGAGATCGATCGGCTAGTTATATTGCATCTCGCTCACACACCGCAGCAGATTTGGCTGGGCAGTTCTTCGCGCGAGACGACGACAAGTTCAAGGTTTGTCGCGTTATCAAGTCAAGCAACGTGTTTACCGTACGCGCCGCCAACATTTCGGTGGGAACGTACACGGTATGGTTGAAGTGGCTCCCATGAGTCTCGTTACCGGCACCACCCTGAACTTCTTCCAGTTTCACCACACGTTCATGGGAAGGCGATCAACTTCAACGAATAATCGGATGGGCGGATCCACGGTTACTCGAGCTGCTTCGGTATCCTACCTCGCAAATGTTCATCGACGAAACACTTCGGTGTGTATCGAGGAAGTTCTACCAGCGCATCGTACTCATGGTGAGGAAGCGGGTCTATGTCCCCTGTATGTATGCGCTAACGACTGTAAAACATCTCTCGTCTACCGAAACTGATGACTTTTATGAATGATTGTACAGGTAATCAGCTTCAACGGGCAAGGTTGGGTGCGACTTTGAGTCAGTCCTGATTGACTCGGTTTCAATCCCAGTCCACTAGTGCAAGAGTAATTGGGTGCCTGTTTCACTTTAAACGAGCTACTCGCCTCCGCATGATAAAGCTTCGCAATCGGCATCAAGAGGAACCCTTGCAATGGAGGTTGGCGTGCTAGACATGCTCACAGTTGTGGTACCAGCTCACGTGGAGCCGTATGGAGTAAACTACGTCAAAGATCTGATTATGTCACGATGCAGAGCTGAAGGCATCGAATACTCAACAGAGAGCTGGGGCAACTTCTGGAGATACTTTCGCAGAACGTGGATAAACATTTTTCCAGTCGACTTGTGGAATATTTACGGCATGGATTTGCGGGTTGTCAGCAGGACTAACAATCCAGACTCAACCTTGAGCTGAATGCAGCTATCACTTCACCGCATCCAAGTATTCCTGCATTTGTGTCGGCGATTGACACGATTTCGCGCCGCTATGTACAGCTTCTCAGCGATATATCTCATCGTTGAGTCGTGACCCTGCACACGAAGAAGTCGTTCTGCCCGTCGCTGTAAATGTAGTGTCTTAAGCTCGCCGTGGAGACCGCAATTCCTCACGTCGTGGCCGTAGTAGAGCCTCTCGACGTCGTGGAAGGAGCGCAACTCGAGGTGGAAGGGATCCTCGATTTGAAACCCGAGATTCTACCCGGGGTTCTCGAATGTCTCTGAGAACACGAGGAGGTCGTGCCAGCACAACTAGAAGGACAAGTCTACCAACGCTGGGCTCGACCCCAGTTACCCGCAGCATGATGACAACCTAAAACGAGTAGGTCATTTAGATAATAAACAATATCTCATGCAACCTCTAATGTATAATATAATTATCTCTCTTACTAATATAACATGTATGAGGTATTGAAAAATGCCACTTTGCGCATGGTCTATATTTGATCCCTATTTTCATTCTGGTCCCACATTTGGTCCCAAATATAGGGGTGATCGAAAAAGACCAGATCAGCGGGTGACCTGTTTAAAAAATCTTCCTCTCTAAGTATAAACACGTGAAACTGCGTATGGCTCAACATATCAATTATAGTCCACTCGATGGTACCTTACTGCTACGATTACCGTAGTAATTCAAGAGCAAATACATGCAGAAATATCCTACTGCTTGTCGGGCGGGTAGCATGTATTAGACTGAAACCAATGCAGTCTTCAACCAGGTAATGCGCTGGGTCATAATTACTGTGCCTGGGTGCACGGACCATGTCTTTTATTGGGTCTAGAGTGCACTTGTATGCATCGCACGGCTTAAATGATATAAGCTAGGTGCTGTATAATCAGATTAGGCTCAAGGGGACGGGGCCACTGACCTTCAGAGATTGTCGCCTCCCACAAATATTTTTTTTTTAAATGTGTCTTTGTAGTGCTGATGACACTGTCATCTAGCAGGGGTGAAGCACTGATCCAGTGATCTATGTATTTCCACCTCAGTTGTACATGGAGACAATTGAATGGGTATTAGGTTTTAACAGCAAATATTTTATTTAAGGTCTACGAGGTACAGGTAGGTCTACAAGGTTAAAAAGATAATAAAATATGGTTTTAGTAATTCCCATGTATATTATTATTTATGTTATCAAGATTTACTCAGAGTAGCTGAAGAATTGTGGATTATTGAGTAAGTTCTTTCCGTGAGATGTACGAGTATGTCTAGATGAACTGCGGGTAAATGGCAATGTAGTAGACGATAACATACAGGTCATTAAGGGACTGCTGTACTATCGGGGTGATACTTATTTGTGAGTAATTTTTGCTGACTTCTGAGGCCTTGCCGACCCTAACCTTTGAGGAAAATTCTGACTTCTGAGTACTTTTTGATTTGCAGGTGCAGCGGTTTTGCAACATACTGAACTTTACTTGCATTTTCAGTAACATTACATGAAATGAAGCTTTTTCCTGCTTGGTTCAACTCCAAATCATTTCGGCGGTTTGGAATATCAGCGGAATTTCACGCTCTAGTGTGATGATTCGAGCGACGTGACCTTTACTGAGAGCTGTGCGCAGAACAAAAAAGAAGGAAAGGGCCTCGGAAACTGCCGCATTGGACAATCAGACCATCGAATAGCACATACCGTATTCTTAATTTTGACGTGATCTTTTTCTTCTTGTAGGACACGACTAGCTTGAGGTTACACGCTACACTTCAAATGCCAAACGAGTCTGGAGACACTTCAAATATGATTAGAAAGGATAATTTCTGTGCGATTCATGAATTATGGATGATATAAAATTGCGATGAGACACTTTCGCGGGACAACAAGCGCATACTATACATGTATACTGTACAAGTACAACGCTGTTTCAAGATAGAAGGCCCACCTTCGACTTAGGCAATCCGTTAGCAGTAGCATTCGTCAAAGCGGATTGTCTAATCCGAAGTTGATATTTCATTTAAGAATGTTCTCTCAAAATGAACAGTAACTCTTCCCGTTTACTTTTAAAATGAACGGGCTGATTAAAAGAAAAAAACAATCGGAATTTTTTTTCAACAAGCGAATTTTGATATTCTGTCTGAAGTAAATTCAACAACTTAGTTTGTCTCTTTATTGCTTCCTGACATGGATCATGCATACTGCAGCTATTTCACCACCAAAGTCCGAAGTAGCGTACTTCCATTGTTCAATTAACGTACTTCTACAACTTGGTTTCATTTTGCGGTAGTAACGCGATATGACAATCAGCGTTTGGTCGTGTTCTCCTTCCCTCAAACGCGATGAAACGGGCTTGTGTTTTAACTGTTTGAAAACCTCAGCTTGACTTTGGGGAAGAGCTCATGGTAGAGTTTCTTCACCACGGAAGGTTTCACCAACATTCTCGCTTCGTTATTCGCCCACGAGTCAGTTGATAAGTCGTTGGTGTTATCAGCATCTGAAGGTTGAGCGTTGTCGTTTTCCGCACGAAGACTGGGGTAAGAAAATGAACGCATTTCGCCGTTTTCCTCTCTCTTGTGATCTTTCACAACGTTGATGAAAACATATGTACCCATACCGAACGCGATGGCACCTGCAACCAGTAGAGTAACTGCCTCGAGGTATCCCATGTTATCGATGTGCACTTGAGCTCCGAAAGGCGAACTGTAAACTGACGTTTAGACCTGGAGGTTGTCTGCATATCATACCAAATGATCACACAAATTGTACACAAACTGCGATCGCTCTTGATTACGACGGTTCAGATTACGATTTTCCGGGTTTCCAGATCATGCTTGGTAGCTTATTGGGGCATGGAGGACTGGCCGCGACGCACGAAAGCAAGATACCGACCAAAATCGCGATGTCACAAAACCAAGTCGATGTACATGCAGTTTCTTGCAAGTGCTGGCACACGCCGTCGAGGAGATATCAGGAACATCCAGGGTGACAGTTCTATATGTTTTTGCTGCGGTTCTCACCACCAGTTCTACCACTCGTACTACTCTGGATAATGAAGTAAATATGGCAGGGAATTTCCTAATGCAGTGCTTCACTGCTGGATAGCTTCGCATCTAGGCTCCGTTAGTTTGCAGTTAGTAAATTCAATTTCCTCCACACTTCATCACCTCCCAAATATGATCGCTTTTTTTTTTAAGTCTGGTGACATTTTCAATTTGCTTTGTTTACATATTGCTCTAGCAGTTTGCCATTTTGAAGTCAAGCAGGTGTAATTGATGTTACGACTGCCATGTGGATCACATAACGCTACTTCCTATACTATAAATATCGAGCAGCACCCTCCGAATACAACGCGCTCTGGGCAGACTATAATTGTTATCGGCTAAACTTACTGCTGATATTTTAATGTTAGCAGTAAGTTTAGACATTTAAAAAAGTAACATCCACTATCTGGCTTTTGATTGGCTGTCACAGGTCTAATGACATTTATCAACTTACGTTTTGATAGCAATTTGAGCTGGAAAGTTGTAGTTCGCTGTGTGCAACGTTGCCGCAATAAGAGGCAAATCTCGATTGCAGTATGTTTAAGATGCCTCTACATAAAATTCCTTCTTCAACCTTGTTGCATATGGTTTTTGGGGGTTGGTTTGGCGTAACGCGATGTAATATGCGGTTGAATATTGGTACTTTACTTTGGTGCATTACTGCACAGGAGTCCCGACAGGACCTCCAATGCTTCGCCTTTTCCGCTTCCTACGGGCAGTCATTTGGGAATTCGCATTTCAGCACTTACACTCCCGTTCTTACTGCAACCTACTGCTGGCATGCGCCTCCAACACGCGCTCATTGCGATAATCGTCGGTATTGCAGTTGGAGCGTCTGATATAGCTGCAGAAACTGCGAGGACGTTGATCATATCTGGCCCCCAGACTGGTGTGAAGCCGTTTCGCGCTGAAATCGACGTCAAGAATCAGAGAAGGCGTTTGAGGAGCTACAAGGCCGATGGTGGTGAGAAGGAAGATTCCAACGATACACACGAAGAAACTCGCAACATATTGTATAAACAGTTATTCCCAGCCTGGTACGCATCAGGCAAGACACCAGAAACGATATTTGTCGAATTACAGAGTCCGACGCTCGATCACAAAAATTGGCCGATCTACAAGAGCTACAAGGCGTACTACGACACGTACCACGTAGTTTATCCATAACTGGTGTGAAAGCGTCGCGGAGGAGTGTAAAAAGCGTACCATATCGCGCTTGGCGTTGCAGACAACAAAGAACAAATATAATACCTTAAATGTCGCTTGCATTTCTTATCAGTATTTTTCCTTGGTTTCGACTTTTCATCGAATAAAAGCAAACCCAGGGGGGCCTAAATATGAGTGAGTTCGTTGTACTATCGACTGAGTAAACTAAGAACTTATTTTCAGAGTCATACAAGATAATCACAAAGCACATAGTTCCGTTTGTTCTGTACGATTGTAGCAGTCTTCAATACGCTTCCTCAGCATGCTGCTAGCCAGCAAATTTGGGGTAATTGCGTATAACTTATCTTTACATAGTACCAGCGCTGCAGAGCTGGCACACGTGCTATATATATTTGAAAGTACTTTTTTTAAATAACGTTAAATAACAGATCACACACGACATAGTGTCTGTGTTGATTTAATTTAATTAAGAGGTCATATTTTGTTTTTCCCAGTATCAAATAAATTAAGCTGATATTTATTTTTAGAATTTTGATATCTATTTATTTGTAAAATCATCGAGACAACAATTTCGTAATAAAAGAAGAACAATTAAATTTCAAAATATTTTAATTTATTTAAGTTAAAAATATAATTGCTGCCAATTTTCATATTTGTTTTGTTTTTAGTCGGGATATTCTAGTTATTTCGCGGCTTTTTTGTATATTTCATTGACTTTCAAGTTTTAAATTTTAGCCAATAATTTTCTGGATCGGCAGAGTTTGTTTTAGCCAATCATCTACCTTCCCTTGGGATGCCCCCCGTCCCGTCGCTCGGTGGGGTGGGGGGTTCTGAGAGAACGTGAAAGTGCCGCGTGAGTCGTTTGTGATCGCACAAAGGCCACCTGGGGAGGTCACTACGCCTTCGACCGGTAAGTCTTTTCGTCCGCTGTCTCGCTCCATTTTGTCCGCCTGCCTCTGTTCCCTCGAGGCGCGTGCTGCCCGCCTTCTGGGTCGCTCTGGAGGCTGCGCTGCATTTTGGCGCGCAATTTGGACCGGATCTCGTGCTCGGGTCGAGGGGGGAAGCGCTGCGTTGGAAAGAGCGGTGTCTCTGCTATCGATTGAGCCCTTTGTAGCTCCCAAATCGACGCATTTTTGGCCATTCCGCACCCAACTCCCGCCGCGACTCCGCAACACGGGCCCGGGTCTATTTGAGGACACCTGGTGTGAGCTGAGCTGACGTGGAGACGTCTGTGTTCTGTGCTGTGCTCAGATGCAGTAGCGGCGCTACTCGGGGGGAAGCACGCAGCACGTAGGGCGCTCAATGTGTGGAGATGTTTGTAGCGAGTGATGGTCACTGAAATGTATTGTTATTATATCGGTTAAATGTTGCAATCTTGACAGTTGAACCCGGGATGACGTCGGACAGCGACGGCAACACCAGCAGCACCGTCGTCCTTAGATCCATCCGCGTCAAACTTGTAGAATATAAAGAATCTCTCTTGCGGTATGTGCTTGCCTGTCTGCTGCGTTATAATGTTGACATTCTAACGGATAGTTATGTTTTCATGCGTGTGTAGGCAGCTGGTGGACGAGCGGGAGGCGGCACTAGCGGCTAGTAAAGAGCAGGAACGGGTGGATGTGAAGGAGGACGGCGGTAATAGTTTGGCAGATGAGGAGGAGGTCTCTCAAAAAGAGGAAAAGCAGGTCGAAGCAGCTGAAGCTGAAGAGCGCAAGCCAGAAAATGATGAGAGCACTGTTGCAGTGGAGGAATCCATTGCGGAGACGGAGTCTGAGAGCGCTGCAGCTGTGGAGGAGCCTATAGAAAAGTCGCCATCCTTCAACGATGAGGTTATCTTGAAGAAGAGACGCCTAGCAGAAGAGGAGAGTGTTGTGCAAGCTGAGAAGGATGCAATTGCCGTCAAGAAGGCGAAGAGAAGTAAGGCCAAGAGCCACCAGCAGCCGGAGGAGCCCGCAGACAGCAATAATGTATTATTGGAGGAAAAGACGGACAGCTCGACAGCGGTGGATGCAGTTGAGCACCAAGCGTTGCCACTGGGACCTCCGTACCGCGTTGTAAGGACGTCAGTGCCTCCAACCAAGTATTTAATGCAGACAAGGCGAGACGAAGAGGCTTCGAACCTCAAGGCTCTTCACCAACAGCCAGTTCTGAAGACTTCACCGACACCTGCGGATCATAGCACCAGCAACGGAGTCGCGGGTATTAAACGGCCGGTCTCGACGCCCCGAAGCTCATCAACTTCGATGGATTCGACAAATGCAGAGTTCGAGGGGAAATTACGCGAGTCTGTGCGTCTCCATCGAGAGGTGAACAAGCGGAGTTTGACAGTGACTCGGAAAAGGCAATTGCCACGATTGCCAACGCCAGCGCGCGGTAAGTCTCACTGGGATTTCCTGCTTGAAGAAATGAAGTGGATGGCGACGGATTTTGCTCAGGAACGCAATTGGAAGCGAGTGATTCAACACCGCCTGGCGGCTGATGTGATTGTTGCGCGGAATGCGGAAAATGTGCGCCAAGAACAAGAGAATCGTCAGATGGCGCGTGGGATCGCGCTGCAGATTTCGGCTTTCTGGCGGACGATGGAGAGAATTGCTGCGAGGTCTCGAGTTCGTTTTGAAGCTGCTGGGACGGATCCTTTAAGTCAAGGCGAGATGGACGATCCGATGTCAGGAGATCGGAGTGAGGATGACGGCAAGCGAGGCAAGAGTGAAGATTTGGAAGTGACTGGTACTGATGATGATGGTTTCACGCTGAAATATCATACTATTGAAGTCGCACAAAGCAATGGAAGCAACGTAATAAGTGGTGAAAAGGGAGACGCGAAGCCAGAAGCAGTGCTAGCGTCGGCAAAGACACACATGACGTACATTGTGAGTGCTGGGAAACGAGCTCGCAGTGCAATGACCCCTTCGTCTGCAGAATGCGCGGATAAGTCTTCGACGTGGTCACTACGTGAGGCAGCTTTCCGAGATTTGCAGGCGCGGTGTAACGCTTTGCAAACTAAGGGAGGTCCTACTATCATTTTGGCTGCCTTCCAGCTCTTGGCGTTAAGGTGGATGCTGGACTTGTACTCGAGCGGTCTCAACATCTTTCTGAATGACCAGCTTGGCATGGGCAAGGCCACTACAATCGTCGCTTTCCTCAGTTTGATCGAGATTGTGTCATCTAAGAAGCTATCACAGCAGCAAGATAGTGATAACGCTGTCTCGTCATCAGAAGACCCTGTCATCGACAAACTGATAGGTCCGCATCTGATAATTGTATCGGAGGAGGAGCTTCATAAATGGCGGTATTATCTGCGGATATGGCACCCAGGCCGGCGTATTCAGCTTTATGATGGTGTTGGTAATACTCCATCTTATAGAGAACAACTGCAGCGTGAGTGGAAGATAAAGTCTCGAGCTCATGCGCACAAGACCGAAGACGGTTTTCTTGAAGCCCCGGTTCACGGCGATGACGGAGAATTGGACGATGACGAACGCACTGACCCTGTTTACTGTGTGTTGTGTCCCGTAAGTGCATTCGCTCAAGACCGAGAGGCTTTTGTGGCGTTTGCAAACTGGCAAATGGTCGTTGTGGAAAATGAACATGGTGGTCAGTTCGATGACGCAGCTTGTGTGTCGGCGCTGCAACAACTTCGACAACAGCAGCGACGAGTCTTGTGCAACGGTCAGTCTCTTGAAAATTGGAAAAATACTGCACTACGACTGCAGTACGCTGAATTTCTAGTGCGAGAAGCGCCTGCTCTTACGGATGATGTGACAGAAAGCAGCCATCGACTGGAGACATGGCCTGTGCAGGAACTGCAAGTGGAGAGGGCGTCTGTGGCGGAGGTGATGCAGTTCTATGGCAAATCATCTAGTGTACGAGCGTCGCTGTGGAAGGCTTCTTCTCAGGATGATGCACCGCAGTATATGAATGCCTTGCTGCTCGCGTTATCTTGTCTCAGTTTACGCCGTGTCCGGAGCGAAGTCGAGTCCGAACTAGGCAAGATCGACGAGATTAGCTTGAGCTGTCAACCCAGTCCGTCACAAAGAACGCAGTACCGAAACGCATTGAGTGGGTTTGCTGCAACACTGGATACTTCCAGTGGCCGCGAAGAGCGTCTGAGTGTATGGCTGCAGCTTCTACTACGTCTGCGTGAAATCTGCAATTGTGTAGACATTGTGAACGACATGGACAAGTTGGGCCACGCGGATGTACGACTGCTTACAAGTTGTTCTGCGAAATTGGAAGCGTTGGAGCCACTTTTACGTAGACTGGTGCTTCAGGAAGGCAAGAAGGTGGTGATTTACTCCCAGTTCAACGCCATGTTCCCTATCCTGGAATTCTTCCTCTCTCTGCTAGATATCAACTACGTTCGCGTGACTGGATCTGTCACTATGCAACGTCGTGCGCTGTGTCACTTTGCTGATCGCCCAGTGGTTCGCGTAGCACTTGCGTCTACTCGTCTGTCCATGTCCAACGGGAGACGGGCAGTGTCAGTATTCGGTGGTGAGGCCATAATTGTCGTGGACGGAGACTGGAACACCACGTGTGATGCCAAGCTTCGTGCCAGTTGGGCGAAAATGGCTGTGGGTGGTGCTGATACGCTCCCAGTCTACCGATTACACTGTGAGAATACCATTGAATCCTCGTTATTACGCGTGGGAGCTTCGCTCACTGAGAAGGTGTTTGGAGAGATGAGTCCCCAAGAACTTCTGGCTGTGCCTTCTGACATGACGTTGAGCTTGACGATCGAAAAGCCGAGCTGGTGGTCTTCAACCGCCACCAGCAGCGGTGGAAACGGCTTGACGGATACTGGAGCGATGGCGAAACTTTCGCGTGTGGCTCAGCAGGTAGAGAACGATGAAAAATACTGCGGAGATGCCAATGAGTTGGAGGCCCCGCTCATCGTACACAATGTGGATCTGGATGCCGAGGAACATCTCTTATTAGCCAATACGGACGAACTGACGCCTGTGGAATGGTACGCTGTCAACTACGTACATGGCGTGACTGACAAGAAACAACAAGGAGATGGCAAGACTGTTGAAAGCGCCGAGAGTGTCGAAGACGAAGGCTCGACGTCTTTGAATGATAGCAACGCGTTCCTCCAGTCTGACGAGCGTTCATTCGAGAAACTGGCAACGTTGGAGACTAATCGCCTGTGGCAGGAAGGCGACGCAGCTTCTCAACTGTTTTTCACTCTCGACTCTCGCTACAGCGGCGTGGACGAACATGCACTTGACAAGCTGTTTATGCAGATGCGTATGGAAGGTATGGAGACCCATTTCGACGTCTACAAGCCTCCACAACCTCCTTTGTCCGAAGCTTCGAACGTGCCGCGTCTTTCGTCAGAAGTTGGCTCGAATACGGGCAACCAGATGACCTTCCGGGTATCTTATCGTGTGCCAGCTCCTCCACCTGCTCCATTGCCTGGGAAGTCTAAAGTGGACCAAGCTGTTGATCTATCCAAGTTATCCAAGGCCAACAAGAAGCAGAGAGCTAATGTGGCAAGAGCTGGGATGTCTGGATTGGCTTCTGGAAGCTCCACAAACGCTACGGCTGCCTCCGCGGGTGTCAAGCGCAAGTTGGAGTCGCAGTTGGGAGGTATCAAATCTGGTTCTCAGAAGGAAATGCGTGTGGATTTGGAGGGGATCCCTGTCCCTGATGTGTCGGAGTTTGCTGACGACGATTTCTGGGGCGACACGAACTTGGATGCGTTGGATTCGGCTGAGTGGGATGACCCTGCACTACTTAGCGGCATCCTTGGTGTTGGTGTAGGCGCCGGAACGGGAACTTCGTCTACTTCTTCGTCGGGTACCGTGTCCAGTGGCACGTCTGCAGCGCCAACGAATGCTGCGGGCGCCTCAGGCGTAATGGATGCAGGACACCACTCGAAAACAGGCTCGCAGAAGAGCTCGAAGAAGTCGAAGACTGGAACAGGACGGGCTCGTAAGAGCAGCATGTCGTCCGACTCTGGACGTGAGGCCTGGAGTGTGCACGACGACATCATCCTCAAGAAACTCTTCGAGCTGTACGGCGCCAACTGGACTCTTATCGCTCAGGTGTTTAACTCGTCCACTGCAGTCTCTCGTTTTGTGTGCAAGAAACGCTCTCCACGACAATGTTACGATCGCTACGGCAAGATTATCTCCGGCAATCTGGCGACGTCAACTGGTTCTGCTACGAAAGATAGCAAGTCGGGGCTCAAGGCGCAGCGTGCAGCGCAGGCTGCGAATGCTGCGGCTGCACAGCTCACGTCTGCTGTGCTGGATACACGAATCGGATTGCCACAAAGTGAGCTGCTTCTCAAGTTCCCGTCACGTCACTCGTTACCTGGATTACCCCCGGCTTCTATCGCTAGTGCACCCAGCTTAGTGGAGATGACACTGGCGCACAGGAAGCAAGCGACCGATGCGAAGAAACCCACTGGAACGGACGATCTCAAGTCGATCAAGACCTCGTTTGACGCTATTATCCAGTGCATGAAGCACAAGACGTCGCCGCCACCGATCCCGATACCGGTCGGAACCGGTTCTACGTCCACGTCGACGGAATCGAGCTCGGATCTCGGAACGAAGGCGTCACTTACAGCCGCGTTGTCTGCGTCTGAAGCTCCAACTCCTACTTCTACGACTCCAGTGTCTACCCCAACGAAAGCTACCGCTACTTCGGCCAAGAAAGCCACCGTTTCCCCTTCAGCAGCAGCGAAGGCGATGCCTGTGGTGGTGCCGCCACCGCACAAGTCGCATACGGATATGATTTCACTGCTACCGACGGCGGTGTTGGGTCCAGACGAAGTGATTAAACGCAGTAAGGAGGCTGCTGTGGTGGCTGTACAAGCAGCGGCAGCTGTAGCTTCAGTTGGACGGGACGGATCGCCATTGTCAGCTAGTGGCGATGTTATGCTTGGAGCTGGCTCGAACTTTGGAGCAGCAGTGAGTGGCTCGATGCCGCGACGGTCACATGCTGCGAGTCTGACTAGTGAAATGACAGCAGTTGGAGTGATGTCCACGTCTTCTATTGCTCCTACAGTTCCTGCGACTGGATCTACGACAGCGACAGGATCGTGGGGAGGAAACATGATACAGACCAATGGATTGAACGCTACTACGTCTCTGGAGTTGAACGGGGCCTCTGTTATCCCAGGAGCTGCTGGTAACGAGCCGCAACGAGCGATGCCAGTGACTACGTCGACGCTACTGCACGTACTGGACCGTATGCCTGAGATCAAGAACAAGATCCAGTCGATCTTGAACCGCACAGACTGCTCCGAGTCGCAGAAGGTGGCGATGATCGCGCGGTTATTGAGCAACACGAACGCTATCAGCAACACTAACGCACTGACAGCTTCTGCGCCGCCTGCAGCGACGTCGAACAGCAACACGGTGTTATCAGCTCTGACTGCCGACGCCAGTATGCTCAACTCGTCAGACATGCTCATTGACACGGACACGCCCATTCCGATGCCATCGTCGTTAGCCACGCCGTCGCCGTCGAGTGTGGCCACCCCGCAAGGACAGTTCCAGTCTCCGCCGGCGTCGCAACCCTGAGCCAAGTAGTTCTGGAGTTGCGTAGTGTATCTATGTATGCAGCCAGCAGTTCAGTCTGCACCAGCTCAAGCGAGAGAAAAAAAAAACAAATAGACAGCTAAGTAGTACGCAACTTCGTGATCATAACGTCTGCAAAGGTCAAGTCCTCGACTCAATGGGCGCTACGCAACAACGCTTTAACACCCCACAATAATGCTACGGACAGGAAGAAATTCACCGCTTCACTACGAGCACTGGGCGATGTCTTTGCCGTCGCGGAAACTATGGTTGTTACAACAGGATTGTGGCACAAGTACGTGGCCATGCAAGTCAGCAAGCCGATCTGCCCATCTTTGCAGACCAGAGCAACACCCTCGGATTCTGCCGGGCCAGTGCGGGCAACATGACGTCGGCATCGTTGCAAGTTGGTTGGACGGACAGCAGCCGCAGTTGCGGCTCTGCAGTTAGCGGATTAGTGCTCCATGTTCACGCTGGCGCTCCGCCCGACAGTTCTCGTCAACAGGTCCGATTAATTGTAAAGCAACGTTACAGTAGTAAATTCTGTTGGCGACCTTTTGAGCTGACTGCATCACCTCTTTGCACGCCATGATGTCATGCTGGGAGCTCAGTGATTGGCTATAAATCATAGAACGCTTCCGATTGGTTCTCATTCTGATGTTCGCCACATGAATCTCATCTTTGCACACCCCGTCTATGTCGCAATGGATAAATAATCAGCTCGGATCTGCCTCCACCACTGAAACAGTCGCGCGTGACTTGGTCTCAGTATGGTGCTCGACGCTCGCCACAGCTTCAGTCTTCAGTCTCCGACTTTCCAGCCGCACACCAAGTATCTGTCTTATTCAATAACTGCCAATGGTGGACGGCCCCAAGACCAAGCGCAAGATCTCGTGGCAGGAGGTGCAGCAGCACTCGTCGTACGACAACGCGTGGATCGTCATTCACCACAAGGTGTACGACATCAGCAAATGGGACTCGCACCCGGGCGGTATGGTCATGCTCTCCCAGGCGGGTGAGGATGCCACGGATATCTTCACGGTGTGCCATCCGACGAGCTCCTGGAAGCTATTGGAGCAGTTCTACATTGGTGACGTGGATGAGAGTACGGCCACGGTCAACGAGAGCCTCACGGAGGAGCAGAAGGCTAAAAAAGCCAAGGCCGACGAGTTCATCAGCGCCTACCGCCGTCTGCGCATCAAGATCAAGGGCATGGGGCTCTACGACGCCAGTATGGTCTTCTATGCGTGGAAGATCCTCAGCACGTTCGGTATCTGGATGGCTTCAGTCGCTATCTGCTGGCACTTTGACAGCTGGCCCATGTACATGCTCGCGGCGTGTGTCATGGGTCTCTTCTGGCAGCAATCGGGCTGGCTGGCACACGACGTGCTGCACCATCAAGTGTGGGACAACCACATGATCGGCAACGTCATGGGCGTCATTATCGGCGATGTCTGGATGGGTTTCAGTGTGCAGTGGTGGAAGAACAAGCACAACTTCCACCACGCTGTGCCCAACCTCATTGGCGACGAAAAGACCAAGTATTTGGGCGACCCGGACATCGATACGATGCCCCTGTTGGCCTGGAGCAAGCACATGGCTTCAAAAGCCTATGAATCGAGCTGGGGTCCGTTCTTCGTGAGCCACCAGGCTGTCATCTACTTCCCGTTGCTGCTCTTCGCCCGCTTCAGTTGGCTATTGCAGAGCTACTACTACGTCTTCAAGGGCTTCGCTTTCGGCAAATACGACCCCGTGGATCTCCCTAACGGCGAGAAGGTTGGCCTCATCTTGCACTACATTTGGAACGTGATGCTGCCGATCGTTACGGGCATGTCGGTGGCTCAAGGTCTGGCCTTCTTTATGCTGTCTCAGATGTCGTGTGGCGCCTTCCTGGCTGCGGTCTTCAGTGTGGGCCACAACGGTATGTCGGTGTACGAGCGTGAAGAGAAGCCCGACTTCTGGCAGCTGCAGGTCACCACTACGCGCAACATCACGCCCGGATTCTTCATGGATTGGTTCTGCGGCGGTCTCAACTACCAGATCGAGCACCACTTGTTCCCTATGATGCCGCGTCACAACCTGCAGAAGGTTAACCCCCTGGTTAAATCGCTGTGTAAGGAATACGGCGTGCGTTTCCACGAGACGGGGTTCTACCGCGGTCTGGTTGAGGTCGTGGACGAACTGGCCGACATCAGCAAGGAATTCCTGCTCGAGTTCCCCGCCATGTAACGTCGGAGCGAGGAAAGGAAGCATGCATGTTATCGATCTCTTGTACGAGGTTATATCCGTTTAGATACCGCTTAAGTTGACGCTTGAACTGTATCGAAACTGGTATCCTCCTGCCTAACACAAAATCACACCTAACAAGTTGTTATCGAAACCAAAAACCTATATTATCTTGTAGAAAGCAGCATAGCAGCACGCAATCTACAGATACCGCAGTGTTGGACGTGGCGGAGGAGGCGCAGGTTGGTTCTTCTTCGCATCCTCGACGGCGAACGTCAGCTGCAACGTGAACGTCTTGCCGTCCTTGTCCCAGTTGCTGAAGAATTTGCCTTCGCTCTTGTCAACGTCGTCGTTGGGGATCTTGAACGCCACGGTCTCGTACGGTTCGCACGCAAAGAGCAGATACTGCCAGCGTTTATCGGGCGCCTCCACTTTTTGCTCAAAAGCCGACATGAATCTGTGGCGCGGCTGCAATTTATCCGCGATTTCCGGGTATGCGATCTGGAACAAAAGGATCCTGGCGCCCGTGTCGGGGTCTCGTTGTTTGGTCACCTTGTAGCCGGGCAGTCCGATCTTTAGAGCCCTTGGTTTGGCAGCCGCAGCGGCTGCCGCTGCTCTCGCTGCCTGGAGGTTAGCGGCGGCAGTCGAATGGGCCGCATCCGCCGCCTCCTTGGCTGCACGTCGGGCCAAATTGGTCTGGTGGCGCTTGCCCTGAGTATGCGCTAGATAATTGCCCTCGTTATTGTGCAGAGTGAGACAGAGCTTGCATTCGTAGGAGCCGAGGTGGTTCTTCATGAAGTACGGGTCCTTGGCCAGGTCCACCGTCTCAAGCGCCAGCTTGCGTAGCCGCTCGCGGCGGTCCACATTGCTCTGCGAGTCGGACGCTACACCGCCGGAGCCAGGCTTGGAGCCCACTCGGTTCTGGAAGTCCATCGTGCTGTTGGAGTAATGGTCTGTAGCCAATAGAATGAGGAGGACCAATTCTAGGTTTTTCAAAAATTGCTAAAAACATAATATTTCGTTGAATTTGAATTCAGCTAAATTCATGGGTCATTCACATTGTACAAGGGCCAAGAGTCTTGATTCAAGACGAAACGTAAGCCGATTATATTAAAATGGGCAGAGCCATGACTTCTGGGCTCGCGCTTGACAGCGACAACAATTAGTAGTAGAGGAGACAGCAACAACAACATCATAGATTACAACTTTCATGTACTTCTTTCACCGAGGCTACAATTGAATCGTCGTTGCGAATTAGCGCAGTACACAAACAGAATAAGGCAAGGCTGGTAGACTTCCAGAGTTTCGTTTATATTACGATGTATGATTTGGCAGTTCTAAAAGTGTAGATACTGACTTGCACGCGTTCTGAAGTCTGCTCTAGGTGCAAGTCAGTTACATTAGCTAGCATTTTGTAAAGCGATCAGTTCATGTCATGAATCGGATTTGAGCGAAGAAAAAACATAAATGAGTACCTGGACCAACGACTCTCAGGCGGAACAGATTTCCAACGCAATTTCACGGAATGTGAATTACCTCGTCTATCTGAAATAAATGTCAGAGAACATCCATTCACAAAAACTCCGTCGAAGGCAGAAGGCATTATGTCCGCGGCGGCGATGGAACAGTTTGAGGAAGCAGTGGAATTGCAAACTTTCTTGCAGGAGATGTCCGCGGTTGCATGGGAGATCCTCAAGCAACACATTGGTCCTGACAGTCGTCTCAGAAAAAAAAAAGACGGGCAGATTCCGCAGTTGAAAATTAATGTCGACGAGGAGAATGTAAAACAATCGGATGTGTGGCTCCGCACGTGGTTCCGTATTTTGGCTGTCTACGACACCGAAGTAGATAACAAACTTCTCAAGTTGAATAAGGAAACTATTTCAAAAAAGATGCATGAGATATTGGCGGACGTACAGAATCGAAAGTGTGATCGAGGACCATCGAAATGCCTGAAGAATGCATTTACGACGTCGTATGCTGATGATAAATTCCTGCAATATCTGATGCGATGTTGCAAGGCATACTTTACCGCTCCATCGGCGTACGCAGCTCAGTACGTGGCAATCGTGCTGAGCTCGGGTTTCGGGAAGAGTCGAATCGTGTACCAAGTGGCACAGATGCTAGCTGGGCCCAGTGCAGGCCTACCGGAAAGTGACGCCATTGATGCCCAACTTCTGAATGTATGCGCGCGTACTAACAACCCGTCTGCTTTCCCGGTCGCAACTCCTGCACTTACCAACTTCTTTTTCAGACATGACAATATTCAGTCCCGATTGGATCTAGCACTAGAGTACGCGAGTACAAATTGGGAGCAGGCAAAGACGGATTGGCTCGAAGTATTTGGTACTACAGAAGGTTCAAACACTGGCGGTGAACAGGAGTTGGAGGCGGTCAATGAAGACCACAGACGTACCAAAACTAGGAAACGGAGCCTACCGTCGAGTAAAATTACCGGCAAAACCTATCTTTTGATGAAAGGCTGGTTTCGGCTTTAGCTTCTCAAGAACATCTCACCCAACAGCCTCCTTCCAAGAAATCGAGAGGTGCAGATCAACGTTGGCAGGTCTTGATATTAGCTGTCGATAATTCCAGGTTTTTGTTCGAGAAGAAAAACATCACGGGCGTCAATTATTTTCAACTACTTCTCAGAGCAGTAAAGGATGTGAATAATAAAATGGAGGATCGCAGGATGATGATCTTCGTGGTGCTTACATAAACTGGTACGAGCTCACAGGTCTGCGATGCCAAGCCACCGGTTATTATGATCAGTTCGTCACGAGTTGATAAAGAAACGTCAATGGAGTTGTTTCCACCGTTTGTGCTCACGTACAATATGGATATCGTTCTGAAGCAACAGCCAGGGTTTACCAAATTTGCCTAAAAGGCGATGGTTCTTGAAAACGACGATCGAAAGGTTTGGACCTCCCTCGTTTCGATGGGTAGGTGGCACTGCTATGCTGAAGGAACGGGTGACCATGTCCGTCGAGCAGTGTATCTAGCTGCATCTAAACTGCTTGGTGGATTGCACCCCACTCAACAGACAAGTTACGAAGACACAGACTCTATGCAAGGTGTTGCATCAATGCTGTGCCGCCTCGGCTTGCGTCCGCGAGCAAGTTCCGCATTCGCGTCTCAGGCCATCGCGAACTTCATGGCTGTGCTTCACCACATTAACTATATGCTAGATGCTCACATCTGCAGCTACGTGACGAAGCCGGTACTAGCCTTTGGCGTGACGCACGTGTGGTATGAAATTAAACAACAGGTGCTGGGCAAGTACATCCTGCCTAAGTTTTGGGAACTGCTCACGCAAGGAGTGATCGAAACCGGTGACATTGGCGTAGTGGTTGCACGCAGTTTCTTGCTCTTGGCGATGGACGCGACCATCGCGCACGGACTTCCTGTCGATGCATACTCTTTAGCCAATGGGACACACCATTTCATAGGCCAGTTTTGCTCTGTGAAGCGGTTCCTAAGTGTTTGATGGTTCTTACAAACGTCACGTAGAGGCCATGGCAGACAACGATCAGAAGTCCGAAGGCAACGGAAGTGTCGAGTCCAAGCTCTTAAACGTCGAGGTTGAGCGAAACGACGAGAAGAAGACACCAGCCGCACCGAAATTGGTCACAATGGACAACGCGACACCGGAGCAAAGGGCCAACTTTGAGTCTTGGATGGACGGTTGGGACCAGTGGAGACGTTGTTTTAGTCACTTCTTCGAGCTGACGGCTATGCAAGCCACGGCGACGCTGTGGTTTCTGCTGGGTCGTCGGGCGGCAGGTGCATTTCCGCGTGATCAGGACGAGGCAGATTTTATGATCCCCATATTCTGCAAGAGCACTGCCGAGGTGTCGTTCGTCATAGTAAAAGCCACAGAAACGACTGGGAATTTGTCCAGTCTGCTCTCGAAAGACTCACTCCTGGATGCGTGTTCCAAGAGGATGGAGATGAGAATGACAAACACGAGTTGGCTGAGGTCTTGCCTCGCAACATGATCTGAATCTACGTGAGTCTACGTGAGCGCACTTCACGCCGTCCAGCCCAGTCGTATCTGATTGATAACGGTGGTAATGAAGACGCCTACACACTGTGTCTGCAGGGTATCGATCGAGAGGGGTCTAACTATTCGTCGGATTATTGGCCGTTCATGTCGGCAGAGATTTCAAAATGGTTTGCGATCATCGCTGATCCGCTCTCTTCGGACATGTCAAAAGAAATTGAGAAAGATCTGGAGTCTCGGTCAAAGGTAGCGGAAAAGGTTACACCCCGCCATGAGTTGCTTGAAAGAGTGAGCTGTACTTTGAACTTGGCTGCCTACGACGAAGATGACAGCTCCATTTAGTGGGAATAGCTTTTCGGCTAATTTGTTTTCACCAGTCGAGAGATGTTTAATAATAATAAAAAAAACTCGTCCAATTGATTATTTTTTTTACAGTAATTTTGCTTCAAAAGCTTTGTAACTAGTAAAATGATAGTATCTTGTTTTGCCTTTATGGAGGCACTAAGTACTAAGCCTTCCTCTCTTCATAGGGCTGTACGTCTGTGTATACCTAGTCGAAATACGACTGCAATGTGCCGGTGCGACGCACGTCACACGTGGCGCAGTGGAAGGAGCCACCGAAGGGCATAAAGTTGCGGAACGGCACTGGGATGACCTCGAAGCCCCAGTCCTTGAAGCACTGTTGGGCTTTCTTCTCATGCGCCTCCACAATGACAGTGCCCGGACGTAGCACCAGCACATTGCACGTGGCGGTCCACGGACTCGTGAAGAAGAGCGGGTGGTCCTTGGAAAGCTCTGGCTCTGGAGCCACAAACACTTCCCAGCCTTTAAACATCTCTGGTAGGCAGTACTCATAGTCCTTGTTCTTGTACGAGTACGTCTTCACAGGTCTTCCGGTGATACACGGACGGAACGGGTTGGCTAGTAGTTTGCCAGGCATCAGAGGGACGAACGTGCCGTCGATGTGCATGGCGTTGCGGTCTTGGAAGTCCAATATGTGGACTCTATAGTCGTCTCCAAGATGACGACGTACCCATTCGATGCCGAATTTATTGGTCACTTGGCTCTGCTGCGTGAAGATATCACGACCCATACGAGTGAACTCAGCAGCGTCAAATGTGGGTTCGAACTCCGTGATGACGGAGTTGAAGACGCCGCTCTCGGCTTGCCAGTTTTCATTGTACAGCTCGTCACTCATTTGAGGCTTTGGAGCAGCCGTCCATTTCCCTCCCTTTTGGAAATACTCCTTGATGAGTTTGCGGTACGGACGGAACTCAAAGTACCGTGACCGCCAGGCCATAGGAGCCTCCACGATCTCATTGCCGAAGACGATGAGCACGTCACGAGGCATGGCCGCGTACAGCTGCGAGCGACTAGTGAAGTCGGGCGTCTCGACTGGCTGGTTAAAGTAGTTCGTATCGGTTTCAGGACGACGGACTATGACGCCCTCGCCTTCGAGTACTTCAGCCAGGTAGTCAAGCTCCTTGGCGGCGCCCTCCATGAGGTTCTTTGGGAAGGGTTTGCCGGCCTTAGTCTTGTACATATCCCAGTGTTTGTCGGGCCACACAGCCTTGCCGGCAACATGCCACTCGGGGATCGTGGCGCCCTCCACACGACCGACGATGACTTCTTCTAGTGGGTCCCATTCGTTGTGCGAGTTGATAATGGGCGTCCTTGAGGATGCAAAGCCCCGCGAGGCTGCGGCTTTCAGTCGAGAGGCGTTGACGCGGCGAAGAAGCATTGACAACGAGGAGGGTCGAGTGGAGACTTGTTATGGAGCTGGCGAGTTCCGTTATGGCAAAAGGACGTACATCCGTACATGTATCTGCCAGTGACTGACCTGGCAGATACGTGGCTTTTCATTGCCCACATTCGATCTTCAAAGGGTAAAAGATACGCAAAAAAAAAGAAAAAAAAAAGATACGCAATATCTCAAGAAAGCTTTTTCTTGAAATGTAAAGAAAAGCTTTCTTGAGAATCGGCCATTTTCACGCAGCTTACAAATTCTCAATGAAGTGCGCCAACATGGCTGATTCTCAAGAAAGCTGTTTGTACCTCCCAAAACCGATATTATTATCGAATTATAGAGGTTTTGCGATTCTGCTTTCTGACAACCTTCGTGCGACCGATCGGCCAAATCTTGTTCGTGCAACCTTCGCACGACCTGCTAGTCGCTGAAACTTCAAACTTTTTTGAAGTCTCAATTCATCTAGGCGCAACGCGGACAGCACCAGCTTCTCGACGCGTTTCCACCGATTCTCAGTGATCCCCAGACACCCACCTACACCTCCACTCTCTTCTGCACCTGTACGTATGATTATGCTCCTTTTTTCCTTGTACAAGCTTCGCAATTGACAGTTCCGCTCAATAATTATTGTTGTTCTCTTTCTCTTCCAGAGCTCTAAGAACAACGCAAGTATGGCCGACGATCTACTTCAAATGTTTCAGAGCATCACCACCAGCGACCACGACGAGCTGGTGGACCAATTCGCGCATTTACTGCAGCTGGACATCCACACGGCCACTTTCTTCCTCGAGTCGTGCAATTGGAACGTGGAGACAGCGGCGAATAACTATTTGGCCACAATGGAGGCCTCAGGCGGCCCCAGGATTAACCCCATGGAAGGAATGGACATAGCCGATGACCTCGACATGGAGGACGATGCAGACACAGCCAATAGACAGCAGCACCAGCAGCCCAACTCTGCCTCGTACCAAGCGCAGTTCATCAGCGACCTGTCGGCCTCACAAGCCACGCTTTTTGCCCCCGATACCCCTGTGCACATGGTGAGGGAAGCAATAGCTTATTGTGGGGTATATTGTGGCGCCTAACATTTTTTTTACTGTAGCAATGGAGTTTTGTGAACACTGGTAGTGAACCGTGGCCAGAGGATACACGTCTGTTATTTGCGCAAGGCGATAGCTTCAAAGGGCCAGAGCAGATTCCAGTGGCAGCGCCAGCAGGTCAGCGGATAGACATACACGCACCGCTGTGCATGCCGTCGGAGCCTGGTTCGTATGCAGGAAGCTGGAGACTGCACTGCTCTAGTGGATTTTTTGGCGACCCGGTGTGGGTAGTGGTCAATGTAGGCACTCACGAAGCTGCAACGGCCTTTGCATTGCAGCAACAGCAACAGGCTGCTGCAGCTGCAGGCGCTGACCCGCCCAAGCTCCAATTTGCAGAAGGTGATCGACAGCCATCACCTTCGTCGGCTGTAGTGGAGGATATGGATCTATAGTGACAGCATTTCGATTCCTTGAAGAGCTAGGACCGAGAGTACGAAGCGAAAGCGAGAAGAAAAGGCCACGCTAGCTCATTTTGAATGGGTCTACAGTGGAAAGAGTGAAAATATATGGATTTTTCATAAGAGATAAAAAAGAATGTTTTATTTGTTTTTTTTCTTGTTTTTTTTTCTTTCCCTAGAGGTTCCCGCCGTGCTTCTCATCCAAACCGCGTAACACCGACGCGTCTTCCTTTTCGACGCAGCTGAGAACACCTCCATCTTGAAGCCTTAAAACGTCATGTGACGCGAAGGATGGCGCAGCCGCGGCTAAAGCCTTCAACTGTACAAAATACCATTTTACTCGTCCGTGAAGCCCGTGACTTCCATATTTATCACCAGCGACAGCACGTCTTCCAGCTCCTTCTTCGACTTGTACAGTGGCAGATCGATACGGTTGAAACACGTGTGTGCACGCGGGTAGGCGTTCTCCGGATAGGCCACCGCCTTCAGTGTGAAGTGGCAGATCCGTCCGTCGTAACTCGTCAGTGCCTTGAAGCCCTGCACAGGCACACGTGATGAACCTGTCGTGAACTGCAGCAAACGCGCTCGTTCCTCGTCCGAGAAGGCCTCAACTATCTCCCAGAACCAACCCAATAACTCCTCCGGTAGCTCGTCAGAAACTTGAGTGTGGGCCTTCCAGTCGTCCACGTCAATAGAAGGCACACCACACAACACCAGCTCCAGTTCCTGGTAGTCAAACACAAGAATCAATTCTTGTGGGATCACCTCGAACACGCCAGCCATGAGATGCTGCAGTTGCTCAGCGTACGAGTCCAGCATAATGTAGCGGAGGCGCAGATAAATGTACTCCTGTTTGTTCTCGTCCGTCAGTTCAATGTCTTTGCCTCCTTCCTTCAATTCAATTGTCTCCACTTCACCGTTCAATTTACGGTTCGTCACTGTAAAGTCCAGTCCAAGAGCGTCCACTCCGTCGTTCTCCTTCATCCACTTCAATGAGTTGTATACTTCCTGGTCGAAGAATTCCAAGTCACTGAAGGAGATCGGAACACCCAGCAGATGTTTCAGTACTGGTAGAGCCAAGTGAGCCTTCATCAATTGCCCTTCCAGTAGAGCACGACCTAGTAAGCGACCAGCGCCACGGAAGTACAGTAGATGATCGGCTGAAGCCTCCACAGAGTTGGGGTTAATAACGTAAGCCAGTGAGTCCACATGGGCACACATGAACAGTCCAATAGTCTCGTCGAATAGACGCTCCGTCACTAGTGAGAACCACTCACGTTCCAGGCCACCAGCGTCAATAGCAACTTCACCGATAAACTCGATACGTAGAGGCATGTGGATGTGCTCCATCTGGACTCCCAGAAGCTGCTCCATCGACTCGACCAAGATGTTCTCACGGTGTACACGCATCTTGAGGTGGCCGTCTTCCCAGGGCTTGATCAGAGCCGACGTTTGCTCCAAGAACCAGGCGTATTTGTCCTTAAATGGCAGAGCAGCCACTTGTTCGAGGATCTCCAGGTCCTGCTCCGATATCTCATAGCCACGAGACGCCACACGAGCGTCCACTTCACGGTATTCTTTAAAGGTCATGCGGCCCTCGGGATGTCGTGGGGTCTGTGCCAGTTGAGAGACAAAAGCCAGCGACTGCTGGTGCACCAGTTCCTTATCTGGGTCATTAGTGGAGGCCGTGGACGCCGACGAAGCGGCCGTCACTGAGCCTGCGCCCTTAGGCGACAGCATGTCAGCGTCCGAGGCGGGAATATCGATGCGAACCTTGTCATTGTCGTCTCCGGAGTCTTTTGGCTTGGCGTTTCCTAATGGGAAAGGCAGTTCACGCTTCGCCCAGTAGCGCTTGCCGTCGAGGCCGACCTTACGCACCCAGTCCTGGCGGTTCCTGGCTCCTCGTTGACGGGAGTTGAGCATGTTAAGGCGGCGGATAGCGAACGACCGCGTACGGTTAAAGCTTTTCTCTCTTGGGACGTCCGTCTCGACGGCTACGGGGCCTGTGCCTGCGGGTCGTACGGGCGAGTTGAGACCGAGACTGAAGCCGCGCTCTGTACCGCAGAGCACGCAGCTCTTGGCTGAGCTCTTGTTGTGGAAGTCGCACACCTCGCACTGCCATTGCGTCGACACCTCGTCGTTGGATTCCTGCACGTCCTGACGCGTCATGGGCTGTCCGTCTTCTGTGTATTGCCCACCTAGTAGCGGCTGCTGCAGGTTCTCGTCGAAGCGCGCGCGGCGGCAGCAGTAGTACACGATAATGATGACCAGCAGGCCGCCCGTCACGTAGGCCAGCCACGTCGGGAGCGACCCGTTGGCGGCCTCGGCTCCGTGCACCTGCGTCGCCACCACCACGAGCGGCAGCAACAGTCTCGACGGAGTGCGCATGGTCTCGGTTTAGTGTCGAGATCTGGCGCCGCCTCCTTCTCTTCGCTTGGGGGCGCCCAGTTTCGTTGTTTGGAGGAGGGAATAGCGAAGCGCACAGTTAAGTAGTGAGGGGTAGGGTTAACAGTTGAAACATGACAACTGATTTGAATAAACTATACCGGGAGAGACAGGGTGCGCACAACCCTCTATGAAGTCTCCAACTGTATGAATGGCCTAATACAAGCGGCTGCATGCAGCTCCTGCCGACCAGCATAAAGGTGTTGATGGCGGTCACCGGGATGCTCTTCAAGAGCCTCTTGAGGAACGAGTTGCAGAGCAAAAGATTGCGGTTTTGGTGGAGAAGCCACACTTGATCAGTCGCCGACCGTCGTCCACTGAATTTAACCGTTAGAATGCGCCGCGCTGGATCTTTGACGTCCGCATAAAATCAAGAAGGTGATTTCGAAACTCAGAGATTCAAGAACTTACAACTGTCCATTTACTCTCAAGCACGTTTTATGCGATTTGACAGGCTATTTAAGGATTGTGGCTGTGCCCCTTCGATTTTTTTTCGAACGTGCGGATTCATAACTGAAACGAAGCGTTAAATAGGATGTTCGTATCTAAACTTCAACACACGAACCATCACTCTGATACCCGTCATTCGACCGGGGCGGCGACGGCAGTGCCGCGAAGTTGCGCCTTGCCTCGGCGTAGCTCGACGCCTGCGAGGTCGAGGAAGACGACGTGGCGTACGCCTGCTGAGACTCCTCGTCGTCGTAGAGCAGCGGTCGCTTGGGGTCGTGCGTCTGGAAACCCTGAGGCGAGTTACGGCGGTCAATAAGTGCTCCCAGAAATCCCTCGTCCTGGTTCAAATGGGGCTCCTCGTCCTGCTGATTTAGTAGGAAGACGAACAGGAACATGCACGCGGCCGCAAAGCACGAGCCCAGTAGGAACGCGTTCTCCCACGCGCCGAACGCGCCTCCTTCCCCGTTATCTCCGTAGATGTTGCCTCGCCCGCCTTGACATACATCCCCATCGCACGCGAAGCCGATGCGCATGCGCTCAGCGTCGAACAAAGTGTAGTACGTCTTAATGAAGACGTCTCCGAGTATCCACCACTCGTCCGTCGTTGACTGGAACTGCAGTTTGCACTGGCCCCAGCCTGAACACAGCACGTAGTCCTGCGGCTGCAATAAGAAGACGTTGTCTGGCTCCATGCCAAAGTGCAGCACTGGAAAGTCCTTAACAGCCACAGCGTCACAGTCAATGCCATCGCAGTCCAGGCCTCGCGTGATCTTGCTGACTACCTCGTTATACTGTCCTGCAGGAACGCTGATCAACGACGTGCCCGTGTCGACGATAGCGTAGCAGAACGGCTCGCACATATTAACAGTGACGTCAGTCTCGGTAGTTTCGACGGTGTTGTCGCTGTCGCCGATTGCAAGTGCCGGAGGAACGACAGAGAAGTTGTTCATCTTGATAGTCCAGTACATGAACGAGTCGAACTCTGGCAGCTTCACTACAGGCGTGTAATGAAACGACGCATTTGGTCCAACAACAGACAAGTCGTAGCCTCCAATGTGCAACTCGCTGCCAGTCCGATAGGCTTCTGGTGTGAGGTAGAAGGCGAACATATTTTCCAGATCGGCGTTCTGTCCTGCAAGTGCTGCAAACACTGTGGGGCGGCTAATGTGAGCGAGGCCCTCAAACCCCAGTCCAAAGATCCCGTCGGCTAGGAATTCCTGCAGCTTGTCGCTCTCATCGTCAATTATCCCAAAGCGAACGCTGTCAACAGTGTACCCTGAGATGGTCACCGTATCTACCACTACTGTTCCCGATACCGACCCACTTCCATACTGCAGCAGTAAAAAAAAACGCTTAGAATGTCGTGAAACTAATGGCACCCTAATTTACATACCGCATCGTAGAACTTTTCCTCCGTGTCCAAGAAGGTTGTGGACTTTTGTGCGTCAAATTGGTGGTGCGAACCGCAGCTATCGCAGCTGGTGCTGGGGATCCATGTATCGCTCGAGCCCGTATCGAACACCACGTCCAAATACTGCGGTGGGTTGCCGAAGCCCACGGAGCCGATGTATTGTACGTTCCCGAAGTTCTGCAGCGTCACACGCTTCTCGCGTGGCAGTGGGGGCTGGGCAACATCCTGTGTGGCGTTCGATTCGGTCGTTATCCAGTCGGGTGCGGCAGTATGGGCGCGATGATACGCAACAGCCTCCGACTGAATCCAGTCGGGCGCGGCAGCAGTGGGAGGTCTTCGTCGGGCGAGCGATACTCGGAGTGGCTCGGTGTCTGCGGCCATGCATTGCAGGCCCATTAATGCTAGCAAGGAGAACAAATGCAGCAACATGAGGGGCTAACGGTAACTGATCGAATACGGCGGCGGCGGAGATGTGGTGCAAGGCCGCAGTCCCATTTGACACCGCAGATTTTCAACTGAAACGACGCGAAACGAGGGAAGATTTTGGCCAATAAGAAGTATGTATCAATGATTTCAGCCAATGGTTAAGGATTATTTTCAATGCGATCTGCAATCTTTGTAGTGTCAGTTGCGTGGTTGCCACAGCACTTACATAGGTCGAGCGGCTCGAATCGAGCGCATAGCTATCATACAATCCCAATTCTCTGCTAGTACTCTAGAAAGCCGATGCAGTTGAGCCATACCCTTCCAGAACGGGTCTTCCTTTTAGCAAGAATAGTGAAGACAATTCTTAATTAGAGTAAGAGAATTCTGATTGGTGTAAAACATTCCAGGCCTGGCTTTACAGCCAGAGGGTTTTTCGGCAGTCGCAAGGTTGGTTGCACAACGGAAACTACCAAGTCGAAGTATCGAAATGCTGTCGCGATTGCTGCTCTTGACCGCCGCGCTGGCCATCTTGGCCGCCGCCGAACCGCTCCAGAACGCCCCATACACACTCAGGGACAACGATTCGATCTACACGACGCTGTCAGATAACGGCCCAATGGCCGGTACGGGTCCGCGCAGACTCGAGCCCTTGCCGACTGCAAGCGCCGAAGAACGATCAGATACGATC